AACCGCATGTCCACTAACTTGATCTATCCACCCAGGGCCAGCAGTGCCCTTGGGCCGTGTCTGTCAGGCAGCCCATGGTCTCTGTGTTGAAGGATAGATAAATCGGGTGAGGAGCTGCAGGCCTGGGGTTTGGACGTGGCCCCCACCTTGCCTGGATCTGGCCCCTGAGGCTCATCGTTGGGTAGGGCTGGAGCGCACAAAATGTACGAGCATGGGCCCCCCACGCTTTGGTGTGCCAGGGGAGCGTCTTTCTCCTCCTCAGTCAGGGGCTTTTCACTTTGCTTCTCACCTGTATGTGGCTCCTGACTGATTTTTCTATAGGTCAATCACCCCTGATCTAAAAATGGTTTCCCACCCCTGGGATAAATGGACAGACATCAGGAATGGTAAAACACACACCTGGAGTAGGACATCTCAACTGGCCTGGGCACTCAAGTCATGGACTTAAAAAGTAGCCATTCTTCTACAAAGGAATATCACCAGTCAATTAGAGCGAGAACATGTGGAATTGACCTTCATATGCAAATTGGACCCTGTTACCGTTGGCCTGAACAACGATATGAACTGGATGGAGCCTCTTGATCCACTCGTCTGAAGTAGTGGGTTGTGCCCACGAAAGCTATATAATTTTATAGCTATATAATACTATATAATTTTTTTTGTTAGTTTTTAAGGTGCCATGGGACTACTCGTTTTCAAAGTTATACTAACATGGCTACTCTGAGACTTTTAAAATAAAAAGCTGCAAAAAGCAGCAACGCATTGCCGCAGCCTCCTGAGCTAAAATCCTAATTTCATATTTCACTGGTAAAACTGCAGGCAGTAGGGATGTGTGGTGGTTAGCCTCCAACAGATCTTGAATATTTCAGTGTCAAACAGGTGTCAAGGTCAGACATCTCAAACTCAATGTACCTTAGGGCCAGGGCCAGTCCTTTCATCCTACTGGACCAGCAGGCACGCCTCTGGCAGGGCTCCAGTGCAGGGAATGTTCTCCATGGGTTCCCCCAACCCCACCTGCTGCCCCTGGGCCATATAAACCCCTCAGAGGTCCCTGGTGCCACCACTGGTAGTGTAGTGGGACAAGGGTGGTTTTTGGCTGCTAGCACTGTGCCACTGCCAACACGTCTCTGTGGTGGCCCGGAGGAGGTGTATGCAGAGCTGTCCTATCATCAGTGGCTGCCCTGGCCCTGTGCTTTGGGGAGCGCTGTGGCAGCCACCCTAACTGTCCTATGAATGGGATGGTTGCTCATACTTTGATTAGCCCATGGGGCCTTGGGTGAGCTGAGGATGTCAGAGAGAGTCTATCCCCCCCCACACACACACTAACTGTGGGGAGCTGCGAGGAAGTGGAGTGACTCAAGCCTGTGCCACTTCACTGCCATCTTTCAAGTCAGCCCACGCTGGGGCTGGAGTGATCCACTTCCTGCTGCCACACTGAAGTAGACCAACCAGGCTTGTCTGGAAGATGGTGGTGGAACAGAGCAGACACTGCTGTGTTGCTTTGCTTCCCCGCAGCTCCCACCAATGCAATGAGTACGGGTGGGGGTAGGCCCCCCCCAATCCCTGCTGCCACCCCATGCTAAGCCTCCCCACTCCCTTGGGAGGAAGCTTGACGGAAGGGGTGCGAAGGTGGGGAGAGGATTGTTTGCAGACTCCCAGGCTGTGAGTTTGAGACCCCTGGTCTAGATACTTTGATTGTCTCAGAGGGGTAGCTGTGTTAGTCTGTAACTTTAAAAAAACTAGTAGTGCTGTAGCAACTTAGAGACTAAAAAATATTTAGTATCAGAGGAAGTGGGATTTGCCCATGAGAAAGATCATATTGTACAAAGGTGTTACAGGACTACCCATTTTTTTCATACTTTGATGTTAGGTATAACAAAGTGAGCAAAATCCATGTCCTTGTAGTTGAATAATTTGCATAACTTCACTTTGATTTGCATGAGAGACAAGATGAGTGAAGTAATAGTATTGGACCAACTTCTGTTGGTGAAAGAGACAAATTCACAAAGCTCTTCTACAGGATGGCTACAGCAGCACTGCAAATGCCTGTCTTACATATATGCTCAAATGCTATGGATGGAAGAAAATCTCCGGAATTATGTACTAATAATTAAAAAAAAAAGTAAAATTTCAACATTTACACTTAATGGCTGTGTCTACACTGGGCCACTTATTCCGGAAAATCAGCCGCTTTTCCGGAATAAGCTGCGAGCTGTCTACACTGGCCCTTGAATTTCCGGAAAAGCAACGATGCTCTACTGTACAAAATCAGCCGCTATTCCGGAAAAACTATTCTGTTCCCGCTCGGGCATAAGTCCTTATTCCGGAACACTGTTCCGGAAAAGGGCCAGTGTAGACAGCCCAGTAGTCTTTTCCGGAAAAAAGCCCTCATCGCGAAAATGGCGATCGGGGCTCTTTTCCGGAAAAGCACGTCTACATTGGCCACAGACGCTTTTCCGGAAAAAGGGCTTTTCCGGAAAAGCAGCCTGCCAGTGTAGACGCTCCTTTTCCGGAAAAACTAAAAACGGAATAGTATTCCGTTTTAAGCAGTTCCGGAAATTCATGCCAGTGTAGACACAGCCAATGTGTTTTGCCTTGTATGAAATAACATGCACTGAGACTTGTATATGTTGAGCATTCTCATGTATTTCCCCCATCTAGATTTATCAAGCTGTCAAGATGAATAAAAGGAAGAAAGAATTATCAGGTAGTAATAATATAATTATCTGAAGAAATGGTTTTTGCCCACAAAAGCTCATGATACTATCTACATGTTTTCTTAGTCTTTAAAGTGCTACTAGACTATCTGTTCTAATTATTTTCACTAGGGCTACGTCTACACTGGCGACTTCTTGCGCAAGAACTCTTTTGTGGAAGAGTTCTTGTGTAAAAAATCTTCCACAAGAGCGTTTCCACATTGCTCTTGCTTTTGCGCAAGAGCATCCATGGCGGTGTGGACGCTCTCTTGCGCAAGAAAGCTCTGATGGCCATTTTAACCATGGGGGCTTCTTGTGCAAGAAATTCATGTTGCCTTTCTACACTGCCCTCTTGTGGAAGAGCTCTTGCGCAAGAGGGCTTATTTCTCGTGGGGAGAGGAATAACTCTTCCGGAAGAAGCCCTGTTTTACAATGCTATACTGTACATTTACTTGCGCAAGAACGCTCATGCAGTGTAGACAGCAGGCAAGTTTTTTTGCAAGCAGCTGTTCTTGTGCAAGAAGCTGCCAGTATAGACATAGCCTAGGTGTGCTAGCCCTGGAGTGCCCACAGGATCAGCAGCTATGCCATCACCATTTCCCTCCTTTCACCCTACTGTTCAATCCTTTACCCTTCTATAGCAACTTTCATGTGAAGATCTCAAAGCATTTTACAGATATGAATTACATTTATAACCCTTCTGTGTGGTAGATACCTATTATTAGGCCCATTTTGCCAATGGATAAATAGAAACACTGAGATGTGCTGTGATTGGCCCATAGCCACACAATGGGCCATTGACAAAGCAGAAGTAGCCCCCATTCCGCTCCTCCATTTCCTTTATAGCTTCCTTTCTGGCAGTGCTTCATTTGTAAAGAAAGAAGTGCTGGGCTCAAACAATAACAATGGCATCTTCTGCACAGTGTGACCTCACATGCTCTATACACAGGAGGTCACCTTTTGAAGTGTCACTGACAGAAGAGGTAGCGCTCTGCTCTCAGGTGGTTTTGTTTTAATAAATATTTCATGAAGTTTCTCAGTAGTATGCACTTAGAGACCCTGGCTGTTTGTCATGTAGCAAGCCCATTTCTTCTTGTTTGCATACTTAAGAATTCACCATTTGCATTGTGTGCTCCTGCTGTCTCTCTTGATTGCATTTGTTCTTACTCTGTGGGATATCAGAAGGGAGTCTGGCCTGGTATTTGTTAGTACAGTAATAAAGAACTAAAGTTGATGAGATTTTCAAGTGAGGAGCATGGTCTGCATTTTGGGGGGGGCAAAGAGGGGAAACAATCCTCATCTTTTTAACCACCTCTCCATCTAACTGAAACACACTTTGAAGAATCAATAAATGCTGCATCTTATAACAATCCAGCACAGCACGTCAGCCCATTTTAAAAACACTCTAGAGTCAATCAGATCTGTTTAGGCTTTTTTAACTTTATTGGGGAATATCGGAAAATTGTACTAGAGGGCTAGTAGCCCTTGAACTTTCTATTCAGAAGTCAGACAGCAGAGCCTACAAGCAAGAGCAAGCTTCCTGTCAATGCACTGCAGTAAGGAAATAAAAAAAGGGGCCAGATTCTGCTCTTATTTACTCTTAGGCTTGGGAGGATTAGATTTTTATCAATAAATGTCTATTTCATTGTAGTTTGCACTACAAGTCGATGCAATAGTATTTCCATCAACAACAATCAAAATTTACAGAAAGGCAAAACAAGAAAAATGCTGCTTGATAACTTCTTAGAAATTGATTCATGGATATTTACTTTTGCATATTTTGATATGGGATATTGATAATTTGTGTTTTAACAGTTATAAAGTTTTAACTTTAAATCTCAGTGCCTGCTGTCATCAAATAATTGTCTGACCACTTCATATGTGAACATTGAAATCAATAAAAAATGCAAAGCCTATAACTTTGCACAGTTGTGAAAATTTAACTAATTAAAATAAAAATGCTTAAAAATAAACATGGAAAAATAAAAACCAAATCTATTTATACTGTTGTAACTGCACTGACTTCAATAACATGGCTCCTGATTTACATCATTGTGTAAAAGAAGAATTGGGTCCAAGGAATGGCACAAACAATATTTAACCATATGGGTAATAATTTTTAGTACTAACTACAGAGCTAGCTGAGTCTCAGGTTCTTCGCCTGAGTAGAACCTGTCTAATCTGCTCAGAGACTGAATTTGTCAAATTATACCTTGTGGTGTAATTATTATGTAGTTTCTGTTATGCAGCTTTCTGGTAAATGAAGGATTACTAGAGAATCCCTGTTCTGCCTCCCTCAGCTGGTAGTGCTTACAGTTTACTCTAGAAAGGAGATCTGGAATTTGACCACTCCATAGTTAATTTTTAACCTAAGCAACATGCACAGGACACTTCTAAGATTCAGAGGGGATTTCAGGATTCCTAGCTTAGCATTTGTTTTCCTTTCTGCCAAATCTAGGGGTGTCCAAAGCGCAGCTATCAGAGGGGTAGCCCTATTAATCTGTATATAGACAAAAACAACAAGGAATCCCATAGCACCTTAAAGTCTGGGATAGTCCTCTCTTCCCAGGACAGCATACGTGCTGAACCCTTCATTTACCCCAGAGCAATGATTTAAATGACGCATGTAAAGACTCGAGCAATGCTGGGTAACTCAACCTGGCAAATATCTATTGTAGCTTACTGCAGTGTTCCTAAATCTGGAAATCCCTGTGCCATATCATTAAGAGGCTAGCTGGATTCAGTTAAAGGGCTTGACTCTTCGTTACAATAAAGCCAGTTGACATCCCTCTGGCAGAGTAAAATGCTGCTTTACACCCTATATAAGGAATATTTACACTGCAAGATGGATGCAAAGTGTCCTTAGCATAACTGACTGTAAGAGCCAAAATTATCAGTAGCATTTATGTTGTCACAGGTTGCATTAGAAATTTAGTGTTAGTTTGACATTTTTATGCAGCCAGAAAAATTAATGCAAAACCCACACTCATATTCAGTTGGCCAGTGATATAATGATTCTTTGAACTTATTAATTTTCCATTGATAGGGCCCATGGAATAATTGCCATAGCTACCATGAAACTGTATACAACTGCACTCTTTTGGAATAATTGCCATAGCTACCATGAAACTGTATAAAACTGCACTCTTTTTCTGTTAATTGTCCCAGTTGCATAGAACATTATCAATTTGACTTTTTAATTATTTTTTCCTTTAAAAGGAGACAATGAACTCAGTATTTCCAAAGCAAAAAGAAGCCTTAGGGAGAACTCCCAGTTGACAGCAGAGACTAATTTTGAAATACCAGTACCTCAATCCCAAAGCCCTATTCCGGAGGATCTCTTATTCCTACTTGCAGGAAAACACAGGAAAACAGTGAAGCTTTGGCAGGAAACTTGCAAACAAGGTAATCGAATTTGTTCCCCATGAAGCACTGGAATCAGCCAACCTGAGTTTGTTGGATGATAGGAAGCTAAGATTTGGAATAACAAAGGTGTTGGGAGGAGAGTTCTCCCTATAGAGCAGGTTGTGTGAGATGAATATGGAAAAATAATTCCTCTTTCTGATTCCCTGCATATTTAATTCTCACTGCCTTTGATCACTTGCACAGAATTTCTTTCACGTAAGTTTTCTTTTTAGGAGAATGTTCACTTGAAGCCTGAAGGCTAAATTCTGCAGTTCTTTATTTAGGCAAACCTAATAAGTCAAGAACTGCAAGATTTGTCCCTGTGGACCTAATTTTCAGAGTTATTAAGCATCTACAACTCCAAATGAAGTTATAGAGTTGTGCTGGCTGAGCATCTCTGAAAATCAGCCCCTATATTTATACTGTATATGTTTGCTTCAGTTTTATTGGTGTACATTAATACTACTACTTTGTGCTTCAGTAGTGTCAGTTGAAGGTCTCAATAAAACAGAATTACTGTGAAATGGATCAATATTGTTATTCTTTTTTTACAGAAGGAAGTGATTATGACTTGCTTTAAGGCATTGGTACAGCTGGAAATAGAATGCAGGGGCCCAGAATCTGTGCTTTAGCCTTTTCCTAGGGAATTTATTAATTTGTTAATTTACAGTTCCTAAATGTGCATACTGTTGTGTTCTTTTTTTTTAACCAGCTCAAATGATGAAGGAATAAAGAATTCCCCTGAGCTGAAACAGCTTTCTCTTCCTTTATCTCAGGTAAGTCTGTTCCAATGATGCAATACAAAACTAATAGTAGCAATAAATTATGCTGTGGTCAGCTAGGTGCTGTCCAGACATTCGGCTTAGTGAATTCCCTCCATAATTCCATTGTGTAGTTAGATTTGCTGTGTGAATATTGTAATCTCCTAGACCTCACACTTGAACACTTAAGGCTGTGTCTACACTGGCCGCCTATTACGAAATAGGCATGCTAATGTAGAACTTTGGAAGAGGCAAATGCGCGGGGGATTTAAATATCCCCTGCGGCATTTGCATTTTCATGGCCGCCGCTTTTTTCCGGCTTGGAGATAAGCCGGAGAAAAGCGTCCAGACTGGCGCGATCCTCCGGAATAAAGCCCTATTCCGGAGGATCTCTTATTCCTACTTGCAGGAAAACACAGGAAAACAGTGAAGCTTTGGCAGGAAACTTGCAAACAAGGTTCTTGCAAGTAGGAATAAGAGATCCTCCGGAATAGGGCTTTATTCCGGAGGATCGCGCCAGTCTGGACGCTTTTCTCCGGCTTATCTCCAAGCCGGAAAAAAGCGGCGGCCATGAAAATGCAAATGCCGCAGGGGATATTTAAATCCCCCGCGCATTTGCCTCTTCCAAAGTTCTACATTTGCATCCCTATTCCGTAATAGGGGCCAATGTAGACGTAGCCTTATAGTTTGTTGACAGCAGCTTTATCAAAGCCACATGCACGGAAAAAAGTTAACCTCATGGGCATCTGGTAGCCTTCCCAAATTGCCAGGGTTGGCCCCGCCCCACTCTGCCCTCAGAATGCCTGCTGTAGGTGTTTTGGGAGCGGAATGTTGCTGCCCCCAGTGCCCACACTCCCCCTGCTCTGAGGCTGGGCCATGCACTGTGCCCTCCTCCCTCCCCCGGTGCCCTGAAAATTTCTGATATGAGAGAGCTCAGATCAGGGTTGCTCAGAGTGCTGTATTACTTAGTACATTTGGTAATAACCACTCTTTACACTCATCATTATTGAACTTGGTTGTAGAATTCATCAGGAAAGTTTGTGCCAGTCTTTGCAAAACCAAAGAAAGGTTTGACTGAAACACCTCAGAGAAAAAATGGAGAAGCAGCAGAGTTTCAAACAGAACAGGTACAGCACTGGATCATCAATTAACATGTTAGCCTCACCAATGCATGTGCAATTAATGATATAATTTTCTCATGTCAGTAATATACAATAATTAATCAGCATGGCTCTACTTGTTGTAGATCGGTAAGTATTAAGGATAAAAAAGCTCTATGATGTCCATCTACTGTAGTCTATTTCCTCTTTAGTAGGCCTGTAAGATTGCTCTGCTATCTCTTTTCTCATGCTTTGTCTTGATCAGTTTTAAATGACTTAGCGTCAGGGTTTCCACCAGATATCTTGAGAAATTATTCTATGGTATAAGTTGTCTCAGCAGAATGGACCAACTATTATATATTCAAATTGGTAGCAGTAAATCCTTACCTTAGACCTTAGTTCATTCCATACTTTTAAGCACATTGGGCTACCCACATTCTCTATGCTTGCTTATCAGCTGCCATTGTGACCTAAGTCCTCCCATTTCAAATTAAATTTTTCTACATCACTGATAATCGTGCGCTTCCAAGCAGTAAATCCAAGGAGGACTAAAAAAGGGAAAGCTGTTCAGTGAGCGTATTTAAAATTTTTCTGAATTCTGGAAGTGATGATTCTGTTGGCAGAGGTTCTTGGGAATTTCATGAGGTCTCAGAAAACTTCTGAGAAGGAGAGAGGGGGGATAAAGCCTCAGGCAGATCCTGGGCCAGTGTAGATTAAACTCAATGGCATTATGCCAATGTACATCAACTGAGGATTGGCCCTCTCTGCTTTCATTGTCTGGCTAACAAACTTACACCTTTGGGAACAACTGGTTATTATTAACTTTATCACATACTTGCAAATAAATTTCACTTTTTGTTAATATCTGAATTCAGTGCATAGCTCTTTTAAATTGTCTGGTAATTGTATACATTAGAGTAGAGATCTGTAGATTGGAAAATACTGAAGTTGCTCTGTTTTCCCCTCAAGACACTAATGATGCACAAACTTCAAGAAACATTAGAATCTAATCTCCGATGCACAGACAACAGTCTAGCATGTGAGCCCTCAGAAGTAGATATGCAAGAAGCAAAGTCCCCACCAGGGTCATCTCAGTTGATGGGGACCAAAGTGCAAGAAGCTGAAGATACGGTAATTCCTCACTGTCAGAAATGTACCAGCGAAGGGCTGGATGTTAAAACTCAAAACCAGCACAAGATTAACAACATAAGCAATGAGGCTGCTATGGTAGGGGTTTCTCACCAAGGAACAGCATCTAATTTAAAAGAAGACAGCTGCGACCAAAATACCTATGTGGAACTTGTTCCCTTATTTCCAGATACACTATGTCAGAAGGATGCAGGCAGTCATGAAAACAGGAACCTGTCTCTCGGGTCACTTGAATGCCCCATTCAAAAGGATGAGAGCTGTAGTATATTAGCAGAACACAGAATTTTTGAGGGAGGTAAAGATAGACAAAATGAAGATGTGAATAGTTCCCTTCAGAATGTGGACCAAAAGAAACTCACAGAGGAGGATGAAACTGCCATAAAATTAAGCAATGTTAAAGAAGAAAAAGGGACTAAAAGTATGCATGGAGAAGGCGTAGCTCTGGTGGATACAAGCATCAAAAGCAAAATGGAGAGCAGAATAATTAAACCTCAATTTTTAGTAAATTTAAACATCACTACAGATGAAGAACAGAACAACAACACATGCACAAGTGGCAGAGCAGAAGAGCAAAGTAGCAGTGACAAAGGAGCAGAGCAGAGGAATCCATTTAAAGATGCCAAAGCTGCAGAACAAAACAGCCCTCATGGCAGTGGCAAAATTGCAGAACACAGCGACCTGTGCAGTGTTGATAAAATTGTGGGTGAAAGCCACTCAAAAAGCAGTGGCAAAGCCACACTGCAAAGCAGCCCATGCACAGGTGATGAAGTGGTAGTAGAGCAAGGAGGCAGTTGCAAAGTCACAGAGCAAAGCAGCCCAAACAGCAGTGGCACATTCTTGGAGCAAAAGAGTGAAAACGGTGATGGAAAAGTTGTAAAGCAAAGGAGCCCGCACAGCAGTGGCAATGTCTCAGAGAAAACTGGTAATGACAGAGACAGAGAGATTTCTGGGAAGGATTTTCCTAGTAGTAGTCAATCCATTATTGTTGATCTGAAGATGGATGTAGAAGTTACTGAATCAAAAAGTGTACAAACTACTGAAACAATAAGTCTTTTCTGCCTACAAACTGAAAGATGTGGTCCCTTGGAGTGCAGCAGCGCCTCCCAGCAACCTGCTTTTTACACTGGAGAGCCTGATGCAGGCAAAGAAGAGGCAGAAAAGGAGAGAGAGAGATCTGTAGGCACTAGAGCAGAATCTAGCCCAGTTGCTTTGGACTCCTTGATTGATAGTTGCTTTATACATGAGAACAATCAAGAAGATCACATCCCTTTGGAGTGGTGGAAAGCAAATGGAAGTGAGGGGTTGAGGCCTGATAGGAAACAGTCACCAGTTAGTATCTGTGACTCAGGACCTAATATATTAGAAGTTAAACAGTCAAATACAGACAGTGTCCCACAGGCAGCAACTCAAATTCCAGAGACAGGAATAAAGAGTTCTCCCCTTTCACTTGGCCTCTTGTGGAATGTAAAAAACAATGAAGAAACAGTCATTTGTGAGAAACATAAAATGGATCCTGTTCCCATGGAAAATTGTCTTTCCCCTTTAGATTTAAACATCACTACAGATGAAGAACAGAACATGTGCACAAGTAGATGTGTTGATGTTCTTGAGCAATTGAAAAGAGAAAAAGTAATCAGTCATAAAAGAGGAACTGATGCTAATTCAGGTGGCTGGCCATCTCTTTCTGCAGCAGATATCAGTTTGCCTACTGGTGCACTGAGCGATCCTCTCCCAGTGGACCAAACCTGCTCATCTTGGGAAGATGCACTTTCTCTGGATCTAGAATTGTTGCCTGACAGCCAGTTTCAGAGTGTCCTTGAAGATAACAGAGTGGAACTTTCACAGCAACAGGTAAATTGATTGTAAAGTTACAAAAGTGTTGAGCATAGATACCCATTTTGGACAGCATTGGGCACACCTAGCATACAGAGGATAACTAAATTCAAAATGCACTTGGCCAAACATGGAGTTTTTTACATAGATGCAGAATTTCTGTTCCCTTTCACGATCACTTTACAGTGTTCCTAATACATTAGGAAATTGTATTAGGCCATCCTCAGGCCTAGGGTTGTGAAGGACTAGTCAGCTAGTCACTCCATCCCCCTTGCTGCCCAGGGAAATCAGTTTGACCAAGTTTGTCTGCAGGGAGGGGACAAGGGGTTTAAATGGTGGAATTTTACTAGCATGAGGAAACAAAGAAACCTGGTAATACTAGGAGGTAAAAAACCGATAGTGCCAGAAAGGAATCTTGGGTAGGAAAGAAAAACAAAGGATCATGCTTTCATAACAGTCCTTTTTGACTGAGGGACTGAGACCACTTACAGAGAGAACAGTGAGCCGCACCATAGCCTTAGCTGGCTGTTAGCTTGTGATAGGTAGAGGCTCATGTGCCAAGCTCCAGAGGTCCCAGGTTCAGTTTCTAAAACTATGACATGTCTAAAGTTAAATGGAACTACTTATGTGTGTAAGTGTTCAACTGAATTGAGGCTTAAACAGATCCATTGGGTAAGACATTTCTAAGGACATTTATTTAAAACATTTCTTTTAAGAAAAGAATCAACCCCTCTCCCACTTATTTAGCCTTAATCACATTTGTTTAAAACATGCTACCTTAGGGCAGAGCTACCAAAAATGCAATTCTCCTGGCCAAATGCAGCATACAACCTTAAAATGTAGCTTTTGGCCCCACTCCCTATAAATGCCAAAAGCTGCAGGGTGAGAATAAAACTGTTTAACTAAAAGGCAAAATCCTCAAAAGTGGCTATTACTTTTGTGTGCCTCCATTTCTGGGGGCACAGCTTAAGGCGCTTAAGGACCAGGGTCTAAATATAGCTTTTGGGTTTCCTAAAAGTTGCCAATGAGGTTTTTAGTGTTGCACACTTTGGCAGGGACACCAACAGCCTCCGCAGACCCCACGGCAAGGAGTGGAAGGGGCCAGCTCTTTGCTCCCAGAACGGGTAGGGCCAAGGGCAGGCCAGTTCTCTACATGGCCAGAAGCATGCCATGCCGATCCACCAGCCCTTAGAGCTGCACAAATGTGCAAGCCAGCCCTCAGTGCTGCCCAGACCTCAGCATGCTCCTCCCACCTCACAGCTGCTGGAGCCCTTTGAATTGCCAGGTCCCGGGGCAACTGTACCCTTTCTCCTCCCCATCCCCGTCAGTGGGCCTGCACTTTGGGCAACTCATTAGAGGACATATCTGCATCAGAGTTCTGACTGTACTCATCACTGATTTGGTTAATCATAAATTATTATACTAAGATACCTAAATATTGTGCAAAACAATAATAGATTTCCTCCATCCTGGTTTTAATTTGGCATGGAACAGGGGAAAGGAATGAGTACACATTGGAATTCTATTCTGTACTATTATATATAGGTGTTCATACTATGCTCACTCAACACTAGTATCTGAGCACCTTCCAGTAGTCATTAAACAACTTCTTTTGGTGTGTCAAATAAAATCTTTATACAGAGCATTTATCTATTTTTGTATTAACTTCCTGTCTTTCAGCCATTTTCTGTGGGTAGTAATTGCAGTCCTTCCATCCCTGAAAGAGAGCATCGTGATCCACAGATGCCAGTCCCAGTCATTAATATATCGTACCCCAACAAGCTGCAAACCAGGTAGGGAGACTTCTCACTGAGCAACGTGAAAACTTATTTTCAGTGTGTTCCGTGAATTCGTAGTTTCATGTTCTGGAGTAAGCAATGTTGTGTTTCAACACTCCAGGACTGTACATATTAATCCTGACCACTAGAAATAGAATAATTGGTATTTCAGTGGACTTGTTTGGCATTAGAAACATTTCTGGCAAGAAGGAACAACAACATTCAGTTGTATTTCAAGCTGTCATGGAAAGAATAGAAAATGCGAGCTGGCTGTAGTAATGGTTTTAGGGCTCTACCTCGCCTCTTTCTGTGCCAAATATCTGTACATAAATATGTGGGTGCGATCTTTCCATACAGGCAGGCAGAGGTGTGAAGTGGCATAGTGGATTCACATGCAGCTATGTGCTCTACACATGGTTTAGAGTTTGGGACAATCTGGAATTGGGCAATTACATTATGCCTACCTAAAACTTTCCTTGCAGTTTTATATTAATCTCATATTCTTTACTTCCGGACCTAAACTATTGTGTAATGTTGCTGAGGGCTTTTGACTATTTTGTTCCATACTCTACTGGAGTGTGAAGACAAAAATCATGACTATAGTTTGCAAGGCAAGATGGAATCCTTTCAGATGAGCATGTTGTAGCAATGTGGGATACTAGTTTCTGGTCAAATACCAAATATAGGGAACTTCTGATTGTATAGGTAATGCTTTCTAGACCCTCATTCTGATTTTTCTCAAAACAAGAACATATTTTTTTACTTATCTGAAGAACTTGAAAAAATGGAAACTAGATACAGATTGTAGAAAATATATTGGGGCCAGGGCAATACTAAAAAGTTAGGTCAACCCAGCTACATTGCACAAGGGTGTGAAAATCCACATATATTGCGATATAGTTAAGCCAACCTAACCCCCAGTGCTAGGTCAATAGAAGACTTCCATTGATCTAACTGCTGTCTCTTAAGGATTTACCACAGCAACAGGAGACCCTCCTCCCATCACTGTAGTGAGTGTCTACACTGAAGTGGTACAACAGCACAGCTGCAGCAGTTTGTGTAGAGATAGTCTCAACATACAATGAGCCTGATTTTTGCTTATAGCTAAGGCCCTTTTACACCACTTTGGCAGTGTAAAGAAGTCTTAAAGTGGGAGTAAAGTGCATTTAGCTATATATATGGGCTTTAGTATAAGCCTCCTATATATGGCTAATATTTTAGCTGTATGGGTGCTGATGTTTTGGTGGTCAGGATTGTTTTAGTTCCTCTCTCCTTCCTTTTTTCATCAGGGTTGAGATGATGGAGGAGAGTTGTGATTCCACCAAAGAACAAGATGCAACAGATGTTGTTTGTGGTCTGATTATTGAGCTCTCTAATCTCAAGTAAGAACATACATCTGTATCAGGGATGGTACATGTAGAATTCTTCACAGCATGTGAGTCTCTTAATTATTGACTGGTGAACAGGAGGATTGTTTTACTGGGTTTTATAATATAGACCACTTCAGAGATTTGGTTAGTTTTAGTGTCAAATGTCCAGGTCTTTGTGTGCGTTGTAAGAGGTTAAACCTGAACAAGGCATGTGCACAGTTATGTGGGCATAAGTATAAGCTTAAAATGTTATCAAGAAATACAGGAAAGGGATTCCTGCACTAATGACAGAACAACTATGGGGCTACCATATCACTCCTATGTACCAGCAATTTGAAACCACTGCTTACTTTTACTTATGCCACAAGTCTCCATTCATACATGTACTGGAGTTTAACAGTCTTATTACACACACTGAAGCAAACCACGTTAAGGATTTGCAGGGTCAAAGTTTATGGCATTGTTTTTGCTAGGAAAAGATATATTTAAAAAAAATCCTAGTGTACACATGGCAAATTGTAATTACATAAGAACATAATTGTGGGCAACCAGATCAGGTCAAAGGTCCATCGAACCCAGTATCCTGTCTTCAGATAGCGGCCAATACCAGTTAGTTTAGAGGGAATGAACAGAACATATAATCATCAAGTGATTCATCCCCTGTCACCCATTCCCAGCTCCAGAGCCTAGGGACTCTTCAGAGCATGTTTTTGCATCCTTACCCATCCTGGCTGATAGCTCCATGATCTTATCTAGCTCTTTTTTGAACCTGTTATAGTCTTGGCCTTCACAGCATCCTCTGGCAAAGAGTTCCCCAGGTTGACTGTGTGTTGTGTGAAGAAATACTTTTATTTTAAATCTGCTACCTGTTAGGGATGTAAGAGTGTAATTGCGTAAATGGGTAACTGATTAGCATGAGATGATCGGTTGTGCAAGCTACACTTGGTTCTCAGTCCAGCTTTGTATCCGAGGCAGCAGTGCAGGGCAACAGCGGTTCCCCAGGAGCAGGAGGGCAGCGCGGAGCTGGTACATACGGACTCCTGGGGACCCTGCTACTGCCCCACGTGTAACCCTGTAACCATTGAAATTTTCAGCAGTAACACGGTTAATCAATTATATGCATTTTAACATCCCTGCTACCTATTAATTTCATTTGGTGACCAATAGTTCTTGTATTATAAGGAGTAAATAACTTTCTGTACACCAGTCATGATTTTGTTGACCTTAATCATATCTGTCCTTAGTCCTCTTGGCTTCAAGCTCAAAAGTCCTACTTTTATTAATCTCTCCTCAGATGGAAGCTGCTCCATACCCCTAATAATTTTTGTTGCCCTTTTCTGTGCCTTTCCCCATTCCAATATATATATAT